TTTATGCCCAAAAAGACATATCAGATTATGCTCCAGGTGATCTGCCCACTTTGCATACTTATCAAGAACTGCATATTTTTAGCTCACCTGACCACGAAGTGGTCATGGTGAGGTATAGTGATGGGGCTATGTCCGGCGTCCGTCGTCGTGCGTTGTGCGTCGTGCGTCGTGCGTCGTGCGTTGTGCGTCGTTCGTCGTCAACAATTGGGTTGTTAACAGTCTAGCAGTCACAGTTTTGATTGGATCATCATCAAACTTTGTCAGAATGTTTGTCTCAATGAAATACAGATCGAGTTCGAAGATGGGTTATCTCGGGTCAAAAACTAGGTCACAGGAGCTAAAAATAGAAAAAGCTTGTTAACACTCTAGAGGCTGCAGTTTTCATACAAATATTCTGGAAATTTGTCAGGAAGGTTGTTTTAATGATATCTAGGTCAAGTTCGAAGATGGGTCATCTCCGGTCAAAAACTAGGTCACAGGAGCTAAAAATAGAAAAAGCTTGTTAACACTCTAACAATTGGGTTGTTAACAGTCTAGCAGTCACAGTTTTGATTGGATCATCATCAAACTTTGTCAGAATGTTTGTCTCAATGAAATACAGATCGAGTTCGAAGATGGGTTATCTCGGGTCAAAAACTAGGTCACAGGAGCTAAAAATAGAAAAAGCTTGTTAACACTCTAGAGGCTGCAGTTTTCATCCAAATATTCTGGAAATTTGTCAGGAAGGTTGTTTTGATGATATCTAGGTCAAGTTCGAAGATGGGTCATCTCTGGTCAAAAACTAGGTCACGAGCTAAAAATAGAAAAAGCTTGTTAACACTCTAATAATTGGGTTGTTAACAGTCTAGCAGTCACAGTTTTGATTGGATCATCATCAAACTTTGTCAGAATGTTTGTCTCAATGAAATACAGATCGAGTTCGAAGATGGGTTATCTCGGGTCAAAAACTAGGTCACAGGAGCTAAAAATAGAAAAAGCTTGTTAACACTCTAGAGGCTGCAGTTTTCATCCAAATATTCTGGAAATTTGTCAGGAAGGTTGTTTTAATGATATCTAGGTCAAGTTCGAAGATGGGTCATCTCCGGTCAAAAACTAGGTCACAGGAGCTAAAAATAGAAAAAGCTTGTTAACACTCTAGTGGCTGCAGTTTTCATCCAAATATTTTGGAAATTTGTCAGGAAGGTTGTTTTGATGATATCTAGGTCAAGTTCGAAGATGGGTCATCTCCGGTCAAAAACTAGGTCACAGGAGCTAAAAATAGAAAAAGCTTGTTAACACTCTAGTGGCCGCAGTTTTCATCCAAATATTCTGGAAATTTGTCAGGAAAGTTGTTTTGATGGTTTCTAGGTCAAGTTCAAAGATGGGTCATCTCTGGTCAAAAACTAGGTCACAGGAGCTAAAAATAGAAAAAGCTTGTTAACACTCTATAGGCTGCAGTTTTCATCCAAATATTCTGGAAATTTGTCAGGAAGGTTGTTTAGATGATATCTAGGTCAAGTTTGAAGATGGATCATGTCTGGTCAAAAACTAGGTCACAGGAGCTAAAAATAGAAAAAGCTTGTTAACACTCTAGTGGCTGCAATTTTCATCCAAATATTTTGGAAATTTGTCAGGAAGGTTGTTTTGATTTTATCTAGGTCAAGTTCGAAGATGGGTCATGTCTGGTCAAAAACTAGGTCACAGGAGCTAAAAATAGAAAAAGCTTGTTAACACTCTATAGGTTGCAGTTTTCATCCAAATATTCTGGAAATTTGTCAGGAAGGTTGTTTAGATGATATCTAGGTCAAGTTTAAAGATGGATCATGTCTGGTCAAAAACAAGGTCACAGGAGCTAAAAATAGAAAAAGCTTGTTAACACTCTAGTGGCTGCAGTTTTCATCCAAATATTCTGGAAATTTGTCAGGAAGGTTGCTTTGATAATATCTAGGTCAAGTTCGAAGTTGGGTCATCTCCGGTCAAAAACTAGGTCACAGGAGCTAAAAATAGAAAAAGTTTGTTAACACTCTAGTGGCTGCAGTTTTCATCCAAATATTCTTGAAATTTGTCAGGAAGGTTGTTTTGATGATATCTAGGTCAAGTTGGAAGATGGATAATGTTCGGTCAAAAACTAGGTCACAGGAGCTAAAACTAGAAAAAGCTTGTTAACACTCTAGTGGCTGCAGTTCTCATCCAAATATTCTGGAAATTTGTCAGGAAGGTTGTTTTGATGATATCTAGGTCAAGTTGGAAGATGGGTCATGTCCGGTCAAAAACTAGGTCACAGGTGCTAAAAATAGAAAAAGCTTGTTAACACTCTAGTGGCTGCAGTTTTCATCCAAATATTTTGGAAATTTGTCAGGAAGGTTGTTTTGATGATTTTCAGGTCAAGTTCGAAGATGGGTTATCACCGGTCAAAAACTAGGTCACAGGAGCTAAAAATAGAAAAAGCTTGTTAACACTCTAGTGGCTGCAGTTTTGATTAAAATATTCTGGAAATTTGTCAGGAAGGTTGTTTTAATGATTTCTAGGTCAAGTTTGAAGATGGGTCATGTCTGGTCAAAAACTAGGTCACAGGAGCTAAAAATAGAAAAAGCTTGTTAACACTCTAATGGTTGCAGTTTTCATCCAAACATTCTGGAAATTTGTCAGAAAAGTTTTGTTTTGATGATTTCTAGGTCAAGTTCGAAGATGGGTCATCTCAGGTCAAAAACTAGGTCACAGGAGCTAAAAATAGAAAAAGCTTGTTAACACTCTAATGGCTGCAGTTTTCATCTAAATGTTCTGGAAATTTGTCAAGAAGGTTGTTTTGATGATATCTAAGTCAAGTTCGAAGATGGGTCATCTCCGGTCAAAAACTAGGTCACAGGAGCTAAAAATAGAAAAGCTTGTTAACACATTAGGGGCTGCAGTTTTCATCCAAATATTCTTGAAATTTGTCAGGAAGGTTGTTTTGATGATGTCTAGGTCAAGTTCGAAGATGGGTTATCTCCGGTCAAAAACTAGGTCACAGGAGCTAAACATAGAAAAAGCTTGTTAACACTCTAGTGGCTGCAGTATTGATTCAAATATTCTGGAAATTTGTCAGGAAGGTTGTTTTGATGATTTCTAGGTCAAGTTCGAAGATGGGCCATCTCAGGTCAAAAACTAGGTCACAGGAGCTAAAAATAGAAAAAGCTTGTTTACACTCTAGTGGCTGCAGTTTTTATTCAAATATTCAGGAAATTTGTCAAGAATGTTGTTTTGATGATTTCTGGGTCAAGTGCTTAGATTGGTCATGTCTGGTCAAAAACTAGGTCACAGGAGCTAAAAATAGAAAAATCTTTTTAACACTCTAGTGGCTGCAGTTTTGATCCAAATTTCCTGGAAATTGGTCAGGAAGGTTGTTTTGATGATTTCTAGGTCAAGTTTGAATATGGGTCGTGTCCAGTCAAAAATTAGGTCACATTGCCCAAATATGGAAAAATCTTTATAACACACTAGAGGTCACATGTTTGACTCAGTCGCATCAAACTTGGTCATGATGCTTGTTTAAGACATTGCTTGAATGCGGTTGTGTCAGGTGAGCGATCCAGGGCCATCATGGCCCTCTTGTTTGTATGTTTTTACCAACTATCTGTGCTTTAGCAAAGCCTCGTTTATTAAATGGCACTATATTTTTTATTTTGAGAAATTGGTAAGAAGGGTGTTGCTTTGGCGAAAAATGCATATATGTACACCCAAAGTCAAAGAGTTGGTTTTCATCACACACGGATATTTTGCATATAAGATTAGTATTAATTTAGTTATATTGATAAAAAAAATGTACCATAACATGGTGGTTTTAAAGCCAAATGTCTCCTGATTTATGCTAATTTTCATGAAAATGTTGAACAAAAAAGTAATTTACACATTGCAAACGTCTTTTTACAATCCATGTAAATTACTAAAAAAGCACAAAATATGCACAAATTGCCCCTACTGCCTTAGTCATACATTTTAACTGTAGAAACAAGGTGATAAATATTGCAAAATTCGTCATTAATCACATATAACATGCAAATTATTACTTGAATCTTGAATTCTTTCGCATTTCTTAAAATCTTAAACAATTTTCATTCCATTATACTTGTTTTTGTTCTGTGTCCCGAGTCCTGAAGGATTCCATTCCGGTGCTCCTGTGTGGCTTGAATTGTAATATCACTATTATGTTGCTGCTACCCTGTAGAGGATCATATAGGGATCACTTCTTCGACGTCTGTCCGTCCGTCTGTCACAAAATTTGTCTACACTACTCCTCAGAAACTACTGATGCAATTTCATCCAAACATTACAGGAATGATCAATACCAAGTCTAGTTTCGCATATACTCAGCATTTTCTTGTTCACTGATTTTTGTCAGTTATGGCCCTTTAATGATTTTTATTTTTAAAGTTTGTCCAGACTACTGGAGTCTCCTCTTAAACCACTAAAGCAATTTCATTTAAACTTTACAGGATTGATCTGTAGCTCAAACACTGGCACATATATTACACAGGTTTTCCGCTTGAATGATTTATGGCTGAGTTACAGCCTTTGAATAAAAATGGTTTTTCTTTTTTTGTGTTGCCAGTTACACAGAAGCTTGTCAGGATTACTTCTCAGAAATTACTGGTGCAATTTCATCCAAATTTTACAGGAATTATAAGTACTAAGTCTAGTTGTTCACAATATCGGTTTTTTTTTAAGGTTTTTGTCAGAGTTATGGCCCTTTAATTATTTTAATTTTTTAAATTTTTGTTTTACGAAGTCTCTTATACTTCTCATGCTATTTCAATGAATTTTTACAGGATTGATAGGTACCTCAAGTACTTGCATATATTAAATGGGAGGGCAGCTCTGCACAGGTTACACTGTAAGGCTTAGTATAAGTTGATTTTTGTACAATAATTATTGTTTTACTAGATTAACAGCTGTTGCTACAATTAATTATATAGTCTTCAGTTGTTGTATAAGTGCAGAATATTATCCTGTGCTTATAAAAGGATTTTAAAGGATTTTGTGTGCCAAGGAAAAATTAAACTTAATACACATTTGTACTTTTATATGAAAACATTATTTATCATTGAACTTAAAATGTATCTTTAAGTTTTGCTGTCTACGATAATAATTAAAATAAGTTAGTTTTGAATATGATACTTATTATGTCTGTTTGATTATTTATAATACAAAGATTAAATTCTGGGAGAAATGATGAAACCTATTCAAATGTAAGTAGAGATTCCTCGTTTTATGTTTGATAACAAATTCTGGTTTAATGTTTGATTAAAGAAGCAATATCAAATTCTGACTTCTAATTGGAAACCAGCATTCTACTTATAGACCTGAATGCCCAGTTTCAGCTATTTTAGTCATTATTGTATCTAAGTAATGTAGCATATAATTTGAGCTTTAATGATGTATGACATGGCAGGACAGGAATAAAATTGTTCTGAATAGGAAAAAAAAATATCATTGTCATCCATATCAATAGAGTGTCATTAGGGAAAATCCATTTACTTTATAGTTTTCTCATTTGTACATTAAAGGTTTCCAATCGCTTTTGCCCTGTTTGTAATGACTTCGGTTCTTACGTGACAGTTGCCGTCATGCAAAGACATCGGGACATTATTGTGTGGGATTTTCTCGACAGCGCAACGCTCTGACACAAAATACAGGTTTGTTAATTTATATCTTTTTTCTTCACTTGATAGTTTAATTAAATACAGCATTTTTTCTAATGAATAATTTTAATGATGACAGTGTCTTGTGTTTTATCATATTGCATCAAATTTTCGTGCCTGTTATGTTTAATTCTTTTTTTAATTTTTTTTATTTTTCTTATTTTTATTTTTAGTTTGTTAATTATTTTTTATATTCAATTTATTTTATAATCTAATTATTATTGTATTTAATATTTAAAATGATACATTGTTTTCTATATTTTTCATTACAATTGAGCAATCGATGGAAAATTATTAAAATATAAAGGATGATAATTATGTTATATAGAAATATGCGAGTTTGATTGAGAATTTTATTGGAAATGTTCAATTATTTAGCTTGTCTGTTCCAAAGAAAAAGTCAAGCTATTAATATGATCATTGGGTCATCGTTGTCATGCAAAATCTTTAATGCAGCCCATTATTCAAACATTTTAAAACTTTGAATCAACATGAAACTTGGAATGTTTGATTATCATTACATTAGGGACGGTTATTTAGATAAGGGATATTATCCTAAAAGCTATAATTATTTCGGAGTTTAATGTTCCTTTTTTTAACTTAGCATATTAATAAGAAATAAGTATTGATAGTTTTTCCCCCCATAACAGATGAGCCTCAATGCCAAATGTCATGCTCTTGTTTATAGCTCACCTTTTTCAAAGAAAAAATTCGAGCTATTGTTACAGTCAGGTTTCGTTCCTTCCAGAAACTTTAACATAGGCCATTATTTTTCAATTTCTGAATGGATTGTCTTCAAACTTGGACACAACAAATTAAGTAAGGTTGTAAAGAGGTTATCACTCGAAAAAAGACTTGCTCTAAATAGTTTGGTCACCCCCTTTAGCTCAGTAGGGTCAGAGCTATAGTTTATAGTCAAGAGGACACTGCGGTTTGATTCATGGCTTAAGTGGAATATCTTTATGACAATTGATCTCGGACATTGGGTTTAATGGTGATTTGTCTCTCACCTTTGATTAAGAAATCATATGAGATTAGTATATGGTAACTTATAAAGAAATTGTTAATTACTCAGGTTAGTTATAATCCAGGACAGATTGTTGCGTGGACAGGCCCTCAAGATATGACCCAAAGAATGCTTTTAAATCTGCGTAAAAACAAACAACAACCACAAAACTGAAGAGGTTGTACAATATTTGTAGTTCTTTGCTTAATTTTACCTCTAAATTTAACCTCTAAATTCATTTAAATTGCAATTTCCAAGTTCAACTGTTTGCTTCTTTATTACGCAGTTATTATTTTAAAACAAAACAATAGTTAGCAATACAGTTTAGGATAATGTTTTATTCCACAATTCACCTGGGTAAAGGCAAATAGACAATGTTGTCAAATGCACCATTAGGAAAAATAATTATTTTGTCTCGTAAACTATTATCATGTGTTTCGAGGGAAAAGTTTTGCTGACATTTCACTGTATTGTTATCGTAAGATGATGTAGAGTTCCCGACAATATCTGACGGTCCAGGTTACAAATATTTGGACTCAATTTGACAGATGAGTCGTCTTCTCAGGAAATGGTCGCACCATATCTGACCTTTTTGCTAATGGCTTCAGACAATATTGTTGACAGTGATTCTAAGTTATTGTTCATAGGTTTCAATTAATGTCCAGAGATGGAGTAAGAAATGTTCTCTGTGGATTAAAATGGACTCGCCATTAACCCATACACTTGACGTGCTTTCAATCTCCAACTGTCCATTGATAATTTATGATAAAAGGGAAAGCTTTACTGTACAGAAATGCTGTATAAATTAGGTAGTCTGGGTGCTTTCCTACCTGCTGGCTGCAACTTAATATACCCATGTCATCAGTTCAGACCAAGATCAGGTGACACATTTTCCTTATTCCGTCAATAGTTATTTCAAAGTTTTCCCAAAAATGCTGAATGGTTTTGTCCAGAATTAAAGATGGGCAAGTCCTTTAAAGATATTTTGCATGTTAATAATGAAATATTATAGTAAAGGCAAGTAAATTTTCATACTTGAAGCTTCCAAGTATTCAAAGAGCCATTGTGATAAATAGGACACTGAGTTTTATTGTCAGCATAATTCAGGTCAATGTTAATTATATGCATTAGTCACAAAAGATGTTTCAATGTAATGATAAGTTCAGAGCATAATTATCTTCTGCATGCCTGGAGGATTGGCACAAATGTTCACCATTATGAGAATTAGTGTTGCACAATTGAAGCAGGTCAAAGGTCAAGGTCACACTTACAGGTCAGAGGATGTCCATATTAAAACCTCTACATATATTAAGGAATTGTTTTATGTTTAACACGAAGAGGCATAGTGGTGTTCTCAAAATCCAGGTCCCTTAGGCCAACGTGAAGGTAACATGCAGATTTCCAAGGTGATATATAAGAAAATGAAAATGTGAGTATCGGTCCCTTAGGCCAACGTGAAGGTCACATGCAGATTTCCAAGGTAATAAATATATAAGAAAATGAAAATGTGAGTATTGATCATTTAGACATCATGGATTGTAGGATTATAATTGAAATGTTCAGTTTTAATAAGACTGAGTGTTTGTGATAGGCGTATTTTGTGACAAATAGGCACTCTTGTCTATTTACTCAGGCGCGCAATACTGTCCCCCCTCAAGGATCTATATTAACAATTAAATTAAATATTAATTTTTCTGTTTTTGCAATTACATTTTTTAATATGGGATATGTGTCCAATACATTTAGTTGTGTTTGTTAAAAGGTCGTTTCTCAGAAATTATATTTGTTTTTGAGTATGTTATCAAAATAGAAGGTATTTCATGTGACAGTGACAAAAGCAAAGATAAATTTAATTTGCTATATTGCTTCAAGCTGATGCATTGATAATATGCATGATATTTACACAATGTGATCACATATCATTTACAATTTGTATTTTCTCTAATATGAAAATTTCATCTAGAAATATATATTGATTTGGCTGCATGATAAAGTGTACTAAGCTTGATTTTATTATTTAAACCAGCGATGAGTTTACCTGTTTAGATGGCTGTCACAATAGATATTGATTGTTGTAATTAGCAATATGATAGATCGTCAACAGTTGATGTCACTATTGCAGTACTTTAATGATAACAACAGTTATAGACTTATATACCTATTGCAATACTTTAATGATTACAAAATTTATAAAGTGATATACCTATTGCAATACTATAATCATTATATAACAGTCTTGATATTCCTATTGCAATACTTATGATACTCATTGTAACAGTTATAAACTGATATACATTTTGCAATACTTTATTGATTGCAACAGTTTTGATATACCTATTGCAATACTATAATGATATGACAGTTATAAACTGATATACATATTGCAATACAATAATGATCACAACAGTAATAAATAGAGGATATTCAAGTTTTTTCTATAAATACATGATTTATTTTCATCGAGTGGTATGAAAATAAATATTTCATGAGTGGCGGTAGCCACGAGTGAAATATGGTAATTTTCATGCCACAAGATGAAAATAAATCATGTATTTATAGAAAAAACTTGAATTTTCTGTTTATTATATACATTTTTACTCTTTTTTGACATTAAAATTTGAAAGACTTTCCCTTAAATTTTGTGTACAGGCAGAATTTAAAAGAAAGTAGTCCGGCAAGACACCAGTGAAAATACGGAAAATATGTTTCACTGCAGTGAAAAATAAATTTTTACAGTGAAAATACGGAAAATGAAAATACGCATTTTATTTCATCAATATTTCTCAATATTTCATTTATAAGTATATAATAAACTGATTTACCTATTGCAATACTTTAATGATGTCATGAGTTATAAACTGATATACCTATTGCAATACTTTAATGATGTCACCAGTTATAAACTGATATACCTATTGGAATACTTTAATGATGTCACCAGTTATAAACTGATATACCTATTGCAATACTTTAATGATGACACCAGTTATAAACTGATATACCTATTGCAATACTTTAATGATGTCAACAGTTATAAACTGATATACCTATTGCAATACTTTAATGATGACACCAGTTACAAACTGATATACCTATTGCAATACTTAAATGATGTCACCAGTTATAAACTGATATACATATTGCAATACAATAATGATCACAACAGTAATAAACTGATTTACCTATTGCAATACTTTAATGATGACACCAGTTATAAACTGATATACCTATTGCAATACTTAAATGATGACACCAGTTATAAACTGATATACCTATTGCAATACTTAAATGATGACAACAGTTATAAACTGATATACCTATTGCAATACTTTCACAATATATCATTAGTTGTAGATATCACTATTGCTATACTATCACGAGTTATAGATATTTGTAGGTACAGAGTCATGAAAGATCATTTGCAGTAGGTAAACCTATTGCAATACTATAACAAATTATTGATAGTTGTAAGTGCAGTATTAACCAGCTGGCAGTGGATAAATCTACCCCTGCAACCAATGCAGACCAAAATTAGATGCTCATCTGTACCACTGATTATGGTGTCAGTACAAATTTTGAAAATTTCCCCTTAACTCTGAATGGATTTGTCCAGATTAAAAAATGGACAAGTCCATTTAGAATATTTAGTAGGTTAATGGTCAAAATGCCAGATTATCTTAAAAATTGAAGAAGAAATAAATGACATTGTTTCTCTGATTGTATTTTGGGAAGGGATTTGATTAATAGTTTGACAAAATTGATTGGCATATGGGAAAATTTTGTTATTCCACGTTGAGAGTTCTTAAAGTAAAAAGAGAAATTGACGCCCCATGTGGGGGATAAAATCAAGATCGTATAACTTCATTCTATTCATTGTAAGGAATTGTTACTAATTTCTGTAATAGAAAATGTATTTGGTGTCTTGATTTATTCATAATATAGACAGGGACTGAGTGAATAGATTAAGATTTTATTTGACAAATGATGA